AATCCTTTCATTTAGCAAACAGCTCACATGAGACGAGCCGGCAGCGCCGGGGTTTTTAAAACAATCGGTGACACGTGAGTCGCCAGCGCGCGCTGCGGGGCCTTTCCCTGAGCGACGCGGCCGCGATCACGCTCTGCGCGGGGGGCTGGAGACTCGCAGCTCCGCGGTGCTCCCCGCGTCCCACACCCGCAGGGCCCGCAGGGTTGAAGCACCCCGTTTGTTCCTCTCAGGTTTTCTGGGAGCTGCAGTTTCTTCCGAGGACCTGGAGACCCGCGTGCGGCGGCCAGCCGGCGCCCTCCTCGGCCTGGGGTTCCGTCCTTCAGAACGGCCGTTTGGAGCTAACCAGCCCACCCGGCCCCAGCCCGCCTCTCGGCCACAGTCGCGCTGCTGGGGGCGCGCAGCTGGGACTCGGACGGCCCCCGATCCCTCTTCCGTGAGCACAGGGGAAACCCTGACCTCGCACGTCGAACGCTCCGGAGATGCCTGGCAGGAGCAGAGGTCTGAAGACATTCGGGGTCACCACCCCTCACCCAGCAGAGTGGGGCCTGTCCCCGAGGAAGGGCAGGCCCAAGTGAGAGCCTGCGCCTCGGACGAGCTGCCCAGGCGTCCATCGGAGGCCACCGGCCACGCAAAGAAGCCGCGAACCTCGGCCACAGAAAGACAAGGTGCCCCGGGGCGGCCCGCCATTGTGGGTGGAGTCTGGCCTGGATGCCCAGTGGTGGCCATGGAGCCCTTCGACGAACACACACTCCGGGCAAGAAGCTGGAGCGTCTCAGCAGAGGGAGCCAAGCTTCTGGCAAGTGAGGACATGGCAGAGCCACACAGAGGTTTCAGAACCAGAAGCCGCTGCACCTGGAGTCTGGGGACCCCGTGGCCAGCTCTGCGGCGCCGGGGGACACAGCAGCTCCCAGCCCTGCGCAGCCCGGGCAGAGGCCAGGCCCCGCCAGACGCCAGGCCTCACGCGACTCCCGTCCAAACCCCAGCAAACACGTTGCTGCAGGTAATAGACAAAATCACCCTAAGATCTATTTGGAAAGGGCAAGAAGCCGGAAAAGCTAAAACAATGTCTAAAAAGAAGCCACGATAGCAGTGACGCCTCTCTATGGCCCTAAGGCCTTCTGCTGGCACAGGAACACACAGGCCGGCGCCACGAGCCCCCAGCACAGCCAGCTGGTTCCCAGCAAGAAAGCAGAATTCGGCGAGAGGGGGTGGCGTCTGAGGCGAGGGGCGCAGCCTAACCCCAGAGGCGAGGGGGGCGCCTTAGCTATACCCCACGCCCGTCAAAACCCACCACTGATGCGAGCATCGGGTTGCGAGCCCTCTGGCAGCAGCAGAGGAAGGGCTGCAGGACCCCCGGCTGGCGAGGGGCTCAGGCACGACACTAAGGCGCAGGCACGAGGAGAGACCACGTCGGCTTCAGCCGAAGTACAAGTAGCTGTTGCTCCACAAAGGACTCTGCAGATGCGCGAGAGAGAAAGCTTTTGCAGACCATGTGTCCTTCGGCTTCAGAGGGCTCTCAACATCCAACAACAAGAAGCAAAGAATGCTGCTGTTTGCAGAGCAGTGGTCCCCAAAGAGGCCCCTGGCCCCGCCCCGCGAGTAACTGGAGTCACACGACACGCACAGTCACGCGTGCGCAGGGCCATGAAGGCCTCGGCCGGAGCCTCTTGTCAGCTGCACCTGAGCTGGGGAGACGCCCCGCTTATCTGAGTGGGTCTGCAGTCGCCAGGGCTTGCCGGGGAAAGAGCCCACGGGGTCGTCACATGGGGAGGGCCGTTTAGACGAAGGCTCGTGATGGCAGACGTGGCAGGTCCAAGACCTGCCGGTGGCTGCAGCCCCGGAGGGGCCGGGGGGCTCATCTGAAGGTCACCCTTGCTCCCGGGACGGCTGGGATTAGCTGAGGCCCACCCAGTTCGTGGTGCGCACCCTGTGTTACCCAAATCCACCGATTTAAACAGAGATCTCATCCACACACCCTCACAGAAACATCCAGAACAACCCTTGACCTCATCTCTGGGCACAGGCTCAGCCACACTGACACATAAACTCAACCCTCCAGGGCCCAGCATGACCGCAAGGGCTGAGGGAGACGAGGCAAGAAGCAGAGACCGAGCATCTGAAGACGGAGGAGCAGCTCCGCGGCCCCGGGTCACGGCGGCTCCGCAGAGGGGAGGGGCGGGCTCGTGGGCACAGACTCCCCGGAAGGCCCTGCCCGCCCACACCTGACCGTAGCCCGAGGCCTGCTGGCCCAGGACGATAGGGTCCCAAAGGATGCTGTTCGGGGCAACCGCCAACTGCGGCGGCACCACCGCAGACCAGAGGGAATGACTCAGTCTCAGACGAGGCGCCGCCGGGGGTCTCCAGACGCAAACACACAGAGAGGCGCGAAGCGGCGGCCAGTGGAGAGACGCGAATTAACATGGTGGAGACCTGTCATCACACACCTGGTAAACCAGCCAACACAGCCACTCCCGAGGGCTGGCGGGGGGGCGAGAAACCCATCCCCGGGCGCGGCAGGAAGGCGCGGGGCTGCCCGAGGCGGAGGCGCGCTCAAGAGCCGAGCAGGCAGGGGCGGCTGAGGCCGCGCTGCACCCGGCCGTGCGCAGAGCCCCCGCCCCCCGCTGGCCACACGTGGGCTTCGGCCGTGCAGGGCGAGGTCAGCGCGTCCGCGGGGAGGCTGCCGCTGCAGCCAGGGTGACGGCTAAGGGTCCGCATTTCCAAACGCGAGTGTTCGCTACGTGGGTGCTTTGTTGTCTCATGCATGAACCAGTTTTCTGAAATCCGAAGACTACGGAGGGCGAGAGCTGGAAGGCGCTCGGGTGCTGGTTCTGGGCGGTGCCCTGAGGGGCTTCCTCTCCCCAGCGCTCACCCCCCAGACATGGGGCCAGCGAGGGAACGCGGCTCGTGAGAGGCCCTCGGCCTTGTTCCCCGGAACTCGCTTCAGCAGGTGCGCGAGCCGCCGCTGATGAGCGTCACGCGGCAGAGACGGAGGCCCTGGGGTGGCAGCCTGGGATCTCCGGGCCGGCCCCCGGGAGGGGCACCTGCCCGTGGAAGGCCCCCCAGAAACGCCACTGGGGCGCCCACACCCCTCTGCTTCTGATGCAGGAAAGCGCCACTGTGCACCGTCCTTGCTGAGACGCAGCGGAGATTAAGAGCATCTGTCACCCTGTCCGGAGGGGGGTGAGCGCTTCTGGCCGAGACCCAGGCCCCTGGGCCAGCCCTCCGGGGAGCCCGCAGAGGAGCCCCGTGTGCCCCGCTGCAGGCACCACCTCCCTCCTCAGCCGGGGTCAGCCCGGCCGGTGACCTCTGCACCCGAGGACAGGCCCCACCTCCCCTCCTCGAGCCCCCCACCAGCTGGCCCAGGCGGATGCGTCCCCCGTGGGCCCGTCCCCCGGAGGCAGCTCAGCCGCGCGCTCGGGTGTCTTGGGCTGACCTGGCGGCCTTGCCCCACTTGCCCGGGCACAGGAAGCCCTGCGGAGTCTGACGCAGGGGTCTGAGCTGGCCCCAAAACTGCTTTTCTAAAGAGCTGCGGGCGAAGTGGAAATGACCCATGGCCAGGAGACGCGCAGACAGAGGCCGCCGGCTGCCAGCCGGTCAGCTGCCACCCGGGGCTCCCGAGGGCAGGGCCTGATGGGGCCGGGACCAGAGGCCACAGCACTGGACAGGCCCATGAGCCCGCTGGAGGGGCCACACCGGGCGCCCTCGGCTGCTGACACGTTCGGGCCGCTTGGGCCAGTGGTGACAGGGCCGGTCACGTCCGCTGCTCTCACACATGGCTGACTGCGTGTCCCCCAGGGGCACTAGTGTTACAGGACAGGGAGAGGGGCAGCCCAAACCCCGCAAACCTGCCTATTCTACATGGGTTCTGCCATCCGCCGCATCAACACAAAACATAGGAGACTTTAATGGGAAGGAACTTTAATAAAACTAGGAAACAATACAGGGAAGGCAAAGAGTCTAGTTTCTAAATGAAGCACCCAAAGTGACCCGTCCCCTCGTGGGTAAAAGTCCATCCAAATGGGATTGGGCCAGAGCAAGGCCCCAAAGCCTGCCACAAGTCTAAAGCACCTTCCAGTGGGGACCCACAGAAAAGGGTCACAAACAACCAGACAAGCCCGGAAGGAAAAGAGCAAAATCAACATCAAGATAAAAGCTGCCATGGTCGCCTCCCCACGGGTCTCACCCACATCTGTGTCACCCCGTCCACGACCAAAAGACAAGCGCAGTTTCTTCACGTGTCTCTCGGCTCCACGCGCCTCCTCCAGGTCTCCTGGTTCCATCCTGCTTCCTTCCTTCCTCAGTCTCTTCTGCAGCTTCTCCTCTTCCTGCTCAGCTCCACCCTCCCTTGGGTGGGGCAGGGAACCTCCCCCTTTCCTGGGGACCCCCCTGTTACACTAGGTCCCAGCGGCCCCCGCCGGGGGTCGTTTCACCCATGGCGGCTGCTCAGGGTCTCACTCGCGGCCGCTGTCCACTTGGACTCTCGCCACCCAAGCTGAGGCTGCTGGTCTGGGGCCTGGCTGATCATCAGACCACGAGCCGGCTCTCCCCGACCTGGACCCAGGCCACCGCAGCCGCGCTGCCGCGCCCTAGTGGACGCTGTGAGCCCCCACGACCACCGCCCGGGAGTCCCTGCTCCCAAGTCAGCCCGAGGAAACAGGTCAAAGAGCCCCGGGGGTGCTGGCCCGGTGCCCGGTGGTGAGGCCTCCCGGGCCCAGGCTCCACGGCGGTGGGGGGGGGCAGGGCTTGGGTGGGACCCAGACCCAGGGCTCCTCGGCCTCCTCCTCAGGGCTGACCAGAAGCCCTGGAACCTGCTAGGGGTGGAGCAGGGCCCAGGGGCAGCTGGGAGGCCGGCCGCTGGCCACGCTCCTCACCACAGGCCTCAGGCGGGGAAGAGCAGGCCGGGCACCGCCCCGGGGCAGGCCCGCACCCCCTCCTGTGACGTCACAGCGGGGCGGGGCGCCCCTCCCCCTCCCGGCGGGCCGTGAGGTCACAGACCCAGGGTTCCGCGTCTCCCGGAGACCAGGGCCAGCGGAGGGGCTGCCACAGGAGAAGGTCCTCCTCGGCACTGGAGGGACATGGCGGCCGGGGCGGCGAGCCTGGTGGTCCTGCTGCTGTGCTGCTGGCGAGGCGCTGAGCTCCAGCCCATCAACATGACCTTCAGTATGGCCCGGGGGACCCCGCCCCCAGCCCCGGGCCCCGAGACCTGAGGGTCCGAGTCCCAGCCCCCGAGCCCCTGAGACCTGAGGCCAAGACCTGAGCCCTGGAGACCCGGCCCCAAGACTGCCCAAGACCTGGCCAGAGACCCAGCGCTGGGATGCCCAGCCCCCCAGCCCCAGCCTGGGCCTGACCTGAGGCAGCAGCCGCCCACCCCAGCGGCCCCGCCCTCCTCAGCCGCCACGTGTTCCCTGGGGGAGGGAGTGACTTGAGAAGTTTTTCGATTTTCAAAATCCAGACCCCGAGAGAGTCGCCCGCACTCTACAGTGGCCCTCTCCCCAGGCTCCCCAGGCTCCCCAGGCAGGGACAGCAGAGCCCGTCAGGGCTCACGGACACACATTTTGCCACCTCAATTTTCTACTCCGCGCACCACACCGCACCCCCGGGAGGCGGGCGTCCAGGCGGCGGCCAAGGCGCTCACGACCGCGCCGTCAGGCAGCATCAGCGTGTCCCTGCACGCGCTGGCTGCACCGGGGCCTTTGTCAGGCGGGACCGGCGCAAAATGAAGAGTATTTTTAACAAAGTGCTGGCGCGACACAGCTGCACCCGCTCTTAATGGCCCATTAATGTCTCCTCAAGGAGAACTGCACTTTGTCTGCTCCGCTTACAAGGTCGCTCGCTGGAGGGACTGTCGTCCCGGCCTTTTTGCAAAGCCCCCGCTTTGTTAGGCCTCCGCCAGATGAGCCCATTGGTATGCAGATTGTCCGTCATTACAGGCCTTTGAAAATCAGCCTCCAGGCTTGGCGCCGGGGCTTCAGTCTGCAGACGCCACTTGAATGCTCTGGCCCTGCCGGTCCTGGGACCTCAGTCTCCTCTCAGGTCGGAGACAGGACCTGGGACGGAGGAGGAGGCTGAGCTGGACCTTGAGGGAGGGCGGGGCCATCGAGGGAGGACGCAGTGCGGTTTCCCGGCCCCAACCTCACACAGCTCAGCCAGGCAGGGACCCTGGGGCTCCGCCTCTGACCTGTCCTGCCCCCCCCCCAAAGCGAAGCAGAGGCTGATGGAAGCAGAGGGGGCGCCCTCGCCCTGGCCTCCCGCACTGCTGGAGGAGGGAGAGGGCTCCTGACAAGGGACACACGCGTCCGCACAGGCTCCCTTGAGCCCTGAGGGTCACACACTGGGCGGCCCATATGGTCAGTGGACACTGCTGGGCTCTGAGGGTCTTTCTCTCCTCCAGGTTCAACTACTGACATGCGTCAACCCCCCCGCACGAAGGGCCCGGAGGACGTGCCTGGGGTGTTTGGTAAGAACCCCGGGGAGCCCCAACCCTGCTCGTGGTGGGGGGTCAGCCTGGGGCTCTCCCGCAGGACCAGCTCGGGGTCCGCCCCGAGGCCAGGCTCCCCATCCCAGCGCCTCGCCTTAGGCTTAGGCCCGAGTCAAACTTCCCGCCGTTAAGACGGAACTGGGGCGCCTCAGACCTCGAAGGGCTTGAGCCCCACCTCGCCAGGCCAGTCCGCAGACCGGGGCGCCCGAGTGGCCTGGAGCGTGTGGGAAATGCCGTGTCCAGCCCGGGACGTCCCTTGGGCTGGAAGCGCCCCCGCCCCCCCCCACCCCCCGCAGAGGACAGCGAGGCCCAGAAAGTCGTTTCAAATGCCCTGTGGCCGCACTGAAGAGCGGGGGTGCCGGACCCCAGCAGCCTGCTCCCTGCCGGTGCCGCGTCACGTGTGCTGAGGCTCCTGATCAGTGGATACTTTCAGGCTCCTCCTGGCTCAGGGGACAGCCCGAGGGGACCAGCCACGTTCGCATGTCCCCAGGCCACGGTCCCGGCCCGCCCCCCTTTCACGCGGGCAAGCTGAGGCCAGAGACGCCCTCGGAGCAGACGGCTGGGCCCGGCAGCCTGGGGCCCGACCCCTCGCCCACACGGGGCCACCTCGGCCGCTGGCCCGCCCGTGGGGTCAGGAGGGAGGCGGGCAGAGTGCCGGGCAGGGAAGGGTCTTCCGGCAGGTGCCCGGGGCCCGAGCCAGGCCCACACCTGCGGGCGAAACGGCCGTTCCCTGAGGGGTCGGCGGGAGCCCGCGCAGGCTTGGGGCAAACCGGCTGCGTGTGGCCAGACAGAATGTTCAGGAAGGCGCAGCCAGCTCCTCCCCGGGCACTGCCCATGAAGACCGCGCCCCCAGGGTGGGCAGTGGGGTGCCGGCTGCTGAAGACCCCGCCGGCCTGCCCAGCCCGCAGCCCGAGTTAGAATCCCAAACCGGCCGCCGCCTGGGGCAGCCTCGGTCCTTGGAAGAGCTCGGAGCCTCGGCCCTGGGCTTCCTGGGGCTACGCCGAGCGGGCCTCGAGCGGAGGCCAGTCCTGCCCGGGCGCGGGCGGGTGCGGGTGCGGGCCCTCTCCGGGCGGGCTGGCCGCAGCGTGGGCTCGTGTCCCGGCTGCTCGGGGCCGCGGGGCGTGGCCTGAGGGCTCCGGCCGGCTCCGGCCTGGGCCTGTGGTCACGCTGGCGTCCACCGCTGCGGGCATCGCGGCCCTTCCAGGGCCGGGGCGGGGAGGGGGGGCAGCTCTTGTGTCAGGAGCAGAACCCCCGCGGGCCCGGCAGGCCCCACTCACCCCTGCGAGCCCCAGAGCCACGCGGCCGAGGGTCCCAAGCGGCCCGGGGTGCGCGCCCCGCCCCCGGCCCGGACGTCTCCTCCGGGTGCCGGCCGAGTCCCGGCTTCCAGACACGGTCCAGCCCCCGCCCTCTCCGGAACTGGGCCCGCGGGAGCCGAGGGCGCCCGGGATGTGGGGCCAGGTGGGGAGCTCCTGGGAGCGGGCGGGGCGCCCAGCGGCTCGAGGCCCACGAAGGCAGGGGCCGGCCAGGCCAGCAAGAGGGGCTGACGAGACGCTCTCTGGCGCCTCCGTGGCCCTTGCGGGGGCTCCCCACGGCCATGGGTGGGGCCCAGTCCACGCCGGGGTGACAGAAACCACGGGCGGGCCTCAGCCACCCCCGCGAGGGCAGGACGGCGCGTGGAGCCGGCGGGGGCCCCGGCCAGGACCCGCGAGCTGGGCTCCCTCGGCCGGGCCAGGGCCACGCACGCCGCCTCGGGGTCTCGGAGCGGGGCAGACGCCGCCGCAGGAAGGGCCGGTCTGCTCCCCGGCACCGAGACGTTCACACCCGGGGCGTCTGCTGGCTCCGGTTCCGGACCCTGCGCAGGGGTCGCTGGTCTCCCCAGACCCGGCCTCTAGCCCCGGCTCCGCCCCTGCTCGCCCTGAGCTCCGGCTTCTAGCCCGGGGACCCTGGCGCCGCGGCCGAGGAGCAAGAGGGTGTGGGCCCCGTCACCGGCTGTAACGCGTGTTTGTGCTTCTCCCCAGATGAGATGCTGGTGCAAGAGATGCTGAACCCAAATAAATCCGTCATGGGCGAGGCCCAGAGGACGGCGGCGACCATGTCAACAAAGCCGCTCAAGGAACAAGGCAAGTCCACAGTCCGGGCCTGCTTGGCCGCGCCCAGAGGCCTCCGTGCGTGCGCGTCCTCCTGCTTTAGCGTCTTCCACGTCAGCAGCTTCGGGCCAAAGCCACGGGGGCGGGAAGCTGCGGGCGGCCCAGACCCTCTGCGGGGCCTTCCGGGGCCGACGAGCCGGCAGGACAGGCTCCCCTCTCCTCGCTCGGCCGGGCTCTGGTGCACGCACAGGCGTAGTCTTGCCCTCGGGGTGCACGCGGGGCACCGGAGGCGACGCCCTCTCCCGCCCGTGGATGCCCCCACGCCTCCTGGAGGACAGGGCGGTCCCCCGGGGCCGGAGCCGGCCGAGGGGCTCGCCGGGCCACACAGCTCGCAGTGGACGAAGCGGACCTGCAGGCCCCGGGGGCGCGTCCGGTCGGCAGTGCTCGCAGAAGGGTGCGCGGGCCGGGCCGACCGGGCGAGGGGCGCTGGGGCGGGAGGCTCAGCGTGTCCGCGGTCGGCCTCCGTGAACCCCAGCCCCAGACGGCGGCCGGCGCCTCTGCAGGCCGGCCCCGGGCTCCGGCGGTCAGCGGGCGCCCCAGTCTGCCGACATCCCCGTTCCAGCGCCCGGCGGCAGAGCCGAGACCTCGCCAAGCCCCGGCCTCGGGTTTCAGTGCTTGGGGGGCGGCTCTCGCCGTGCGTGACCGAGGACGTCCTTCCCTTGCCCCACGCTCTCCACCGCAGGAGTCAGCCTGGAGGAGAATTACCAGATGGGCGGGAACGCCGACAGCATCCACGAGCTCCTGGATAACCCGCGGTTTTCCGTGGGCAGTGAGGACAAGATCCTCAACAACGGTAAGTGCGCCCGGTCGTCCCGGTGGGCCCAAGCCCGGGGAGGGCTGCGCGGCCAGCCCAGGTGGACGGCCAGGCCGGGACAGGCTCGCCGCGAGCGCTGGCCGGGGTCATCGACGGCGGCCACGAACACCCCCGCGTCCGCCCGCAGAGCCCAGCATGGAGGAGAGCTACGCCAGCCCCGACCGCTTCCGCGAGGTGCAGGCGGCCCCGGGCGCCGAGGACAGCGTCTCCAAGCACAGTGAGGGTGGGTGCGCCCCTGCCCAGGCCCCCGCCCGCCCTGCCCCCCCTGCCCAGGCCCCCGCCCGCCCCCGCCCCCGCCCGGCCTGAGCTGCCAGGGCGTGGGTCACCAGGCAGGCCGAGCCCGTCCTTGCCCCTCCGTCGCCTCCTCCGGGGTGTCGCTCGGCTGTCTCAGGGCCGCCCTTGCTCCAGCCTCCGGGTCCTCGTGTGTGAAGGAGACACGCTTGTCTGAGATGCGTGTCGCAAATACTTTCCCGAGTTTGTCTTTCACACGTTCATGGTTTTTCAGGCATAACTTTCTGAGCGTTTGTGCAGCCCCTGCTCCAGCTCCCCGCGGCGCCCCCAGACGAGGAACCCCCCCCCCCCGCTGCCTCCGAGCCCTTCCCGAGGCCGGGGGCCTTTCTCCTGGAGCGGGAGGCTGGGCCTCGGGGCCGCGTCTGTCTCCCGACCTGCGTCCCGCCCGCTGGGCACCGGACTCCTGGTCCTCGGCTTGGCCGGCTCTGCCCTCCGTGCCCGGTGCCTCTCCCTCCGCTGGGCCGGCGGCGTGGGTGGCCTCGGTCCCTGCCCGAGCGGACGGTGCGCAGACTGACCGCGTGCTTGTCCCCTCACAGCAAAGAAAGACTCCAAAAATGATCAGTACAAGCTGTCCGTTCTGGACAAGATCCTTCAGAACATCGGGAAGTCTTCAGGTAAGCTGGAGCCGCAGACCCCTGCCTCCCCCGGGAGCTGGTCCCCGAGCGAGGGCGGCCCCTCGGGCAGGTGGCGCCCCGGGAGGCCGGCCAGGCGCCCCTCGCAGCGTCCTGGCGCTCGTCAGCTCAGGGACACCGAGTCCCGCGTCCAAGCTCAAGGCGCCATCGGCCTCGACCCGGGGCCCAAGTGGCCGCAGGCGACCTCGGGCAAGGGGTGGCACCTCCTGACCTCGGCGTCTTTGTCCTCAAAGTGGGGTGCCCTGAGCGCCTCCCCTGGGCATGGGGCTGAGCGGGGTCTGCTGGGGGGCCGGAGCCCGCACCTGCACACACGCTGGGCCGGAGCCCGCTACGCCCAGGTGGCAACTTCTCTCGACCTGTGGGTTTAGCTTCGGGACCCGAGGATGACCAACTGGGTGACTCAGCGGTGGGCCGACGCCCCCACAAGCCCTTCCCTACCCACACCTTCCCCTGATCCCACCCCAGGCCTCAAAAGGGCACCACAGAACCAGGACAGGGCCAGCGCCAGGGCATCGGGCCGTGGCCGCCCGAGAGAGGCCGTCCTCAGTCCCAGGCCTGGCAGGAGTGGGCAGAGGCTGCCTGCGGGGCCCCGGCGCTGTGGACAATGCCCAGAACACTGGCCAGTCCACAGGGGCCGCAGACCCGGACGTCCAGGCCGGGCGGGCCCTGGGGCCTCAAAGGCAGGCCCCTGGAAGCGGGTGGACCTGCAATTTCTCAGGAAGCCGCCTCTGTCCAAACAGGAAACTCCTTGCAGTGAGCGGAGGGGGCGTCCCGGAGGAGGCGCAGAGAAGCAGCCCAGCCCGGGAACCCAAAGGCAGGCGCTGCCTGCTTGAGCACCCCACCCACCCCACCCCCTACTTAGCAATAAAGAGTTTATATTCACGCACCCCCACACCTCTCCCTGGGGAGCCCTGCGCCCCGACCGCTGCCCCCCGCCGCTGTCCGTCAGCTCCGTGGGGTCCCCCTGGGTGTCAGCCTTCCGAGTCTGAAATCACAGCGGCCAGGGATGGGGCCCGGGACACGGCCCCGCGGGACCCGACCAGCAGGCAGCGTGGGTCTCTGGTGAGGGCCCCGGGCCCCAAGTGGGCGTCAGCCCCGCATCGGGGTGAACAGCCCACCTCTGAGCAGCGCTCTGACCCAGCGGCGGCAGCCGGAGGCAGCGCGTGGGCGGGCGGTCGCGGCCAGCAATCGCGCCCACAGAAGCCAGCCTGGAGCCCCGGCTCTTCCAAAGCCCCCTCAGCGCCGTTGCGGTGGAGTGAGCCAGCCCCCTGAAGGCCGGTCCTCTCCCGACGTCGCCAAGCCGGTGATAAACGCAGGCTGGGGCGTCCACGCAGACCCAAGGGCCCAGACGGGAAACTGAGGCAGAGCGGTCCCTGCGCGCCCCACCTGCTCCCCGCCCGCCGCCAGGGGCCCGGCTGCTTTCTGCTCTGGGCCGAGCTGTGGTTCGGAGCTGCCCTGGCGACGCGAGCTTAGAGCACTTCCTGCCTCGTGACGTGTTTCTACCCACGTCCCCCCGAACCCTCCTTGGTGCTGGGGTCTCCCACCTTCCACCCAGAGCCAGAAGGCGGCTCCCCACTGTCACGGTCACCGGCTCCGCAGTGGCCCTGGCGCTCCGTCCTGGCCTCCCCGCCCCCCGCCCAGCCCACGGGCGGTGCTTCCCAGCTGGGCTGTCCAGCAGTTGTCCCCGGGGCCCGTGACCGACCCAGCAGGACACCGTGACAGCTGCAGCTGCCGCCTCCACACCCCTGGGCCCGGGGTCCTGGGGACAGGGCCGGTACCCCCGTTTGGAGCCCGGGAGGAACGTGCGCTCTGCGCCTCTTTGGCGTCAAGATTCCGCCCACCGCTCGCGCTTGTGTGTCTGGCCCCGTGTCCCCCACGGGGCGCACTGAACCCCGCTGCGGCTGGTGGCGCCTTCCCTCACAGTGGTGGGTTTTGCTTTGTGGATCTCAGAGCTCCGTGGCAGACGCACAAGGGGCACAAGGGGCGCGGCACCAGCCCCCGGCCGCCGCTGCGCTTTCCTGACGTGCTCTTCACCTGCAGTGTTTCCCTCCCTCGACTCTGCTTTGGCTGCTGTTTCCGCCGCACTTCCTTCTGGGAGACGCGTGAGCGTGTGACCTCTCCGGCGCTAGGCCTTCCCACGTTTCCGTGGCAGGACAGCCACGGAATAACGTATGGATTTTTAGGCAATATACAGAATGACGCGTTCTCTCAGCCTCCTGTCCTTGGATTAGAGTACTGAACCCGCCCCCGTTTCACGTCGTGACCACCGGAGCCGGGCTCCGCTCTCTTGCCTTGCTGTGCGCGCTTTGCCCGCGGGCCTGCCTTTTCCCTTTATCACTGCGCTTGCATCAGTCAAGTATCTTTTCACTCCGTTTCTCCCTCTCGCTCATCGCACGTTCTTCCAGCGTTTCTTGAAAGGTGATGGCGCGGTCCCGACAGCCACCTGCGCGGTGGGCGATGCTGGGCTTTTCTGCCCTCCCGCCATCAGCGGGGTCCCGCGTCCCGAATGCGTGCCCGACGGCGGCCCCCTGGGGTGGGGGGTGGGCATGCGCAGGCCGGTTCGCCTGGGCCGAGACTGGGCTCTGAGGGCCGCGTCGGGGACGCCAGAGGAAGGGAAGCCCGGAAGGAGAGCCAGCGAGGGAACGAAAGGGAAGCAGAAGAGAGAGACGAGCCCGTGAGAGACGCGGAGAGCCCAGATGGAGTGAAGATTCGCCGGGAGCTGGGAGGCCGCCCCCCGCCCCCCTCCCCCCACCCCCACCCCCACCCCGGTACCTGGTGAAATGGCGCGAACAGCCCCGAGGGCTCCGGGACCCTCCTCTACCTGCCTGCCCGGTCTAGAGACCCTGCTGTGCCTCCCCACGACACCCTGGAGGTTTGTATAACAACACCCCGGTGCTTTTGTTGCCCCCGGGAAACGGCAAAGACGGGGGCACATTGAACCCCATTTCTAGTGCAGGGTGGGTGAGAGCGTCAGGCCCTCCTGCCCTCCCGCCTCGGGAGAGAGGACGGAACCCTGCGGTCGCCCGATGGCGGCGCCTGCAGCGGGGTGTGGGCCTGTGCGCCTGGGATTCAGCTGGGCTGAGACGGGCGTGTGGGGCGGCGCCTCGGGGACGCCAGCAGGAGCGGAGGCCGCCGGAGAAGGCCGCAGAGCCCAGGCAGAGGGAAGACTTGCTGGGGGCTGGGAGCCTGCCGGCCTCCGGCCTCCCCCGCCTGTCGCGTGCTGGGCCCCCCCCAGTAAAGCCGGCAAAGCTGCTGAGGGCTCCAGCCCCTCTACCCCGTGCGCCCGGGTCATGGCAAACCTGCTCGCTGCCCTTCCTGCCCTTCCGACGAGCCATCTTCGTCATCGTGAATTTAACGCCACGTCTATTTCAAATCCCGCAAAACACGATGGTTAGTTTGCTGCGGCTCCTTTGACTTCAGACTCACCCGCGCATCCAGCCTCGCCTCTGCGCGTCGCTGTGGGCAGGACGCCCTGGGGTGCCGTCCCTTGTTGCACGCCCGGAGTGTACCCTGGCGTCTGGCTTTCCCAAGGGTCCAAGCCAGTTCCTCACGGCCCTGCAGTTCCCGCCTCTCCCCGCCACGCTTCTCTGAAACGTTTCGTTCTTTGTTCTCTGGCTTTAACCCGGGGATTTTCTACCCAAGTCCTCCCGGGACAGCTTGCTCCCCCCGCTGTGGCGCGTCGTCTGTGTTTTTAAGGTTTACTGATGCACACAACAACCGGGGTGCAGGCCAGAGGTGGGGGTGAGAGGACGCCCCAGAGACAGAGTGGGGAGCAGGACAGGAGGAGCCACTGAAACCCACTGCTGAGGGGCGCAGCGGGAGACAGGAGGGGGCTGCTGTGTCCTGTGGGCAGCTCCTTCGCCTCCTCGTGACTAGCTTTGAGGACACAGTGCGTGCCCCCCAAGGGCTCCGTGGCTCCGCCCCGCCCTGCTGCGTGCATCTGGGCCCGCCTGGGCACTCCCTGGCTGGCAAGGCTAGAGCCCTCACCCGCCTGCTGCCCGGGCCCTGCCGGCTCCAGGCACCACTGGGACGCCCACCTCAGGGGCCCTAGGAGGCCAGGTCTGCGAAGACACGTGCACCCTGAGGACAGGGTGCAGCTTTGTGGGGCCACCACCCAACCCCCAGCCCCTGCCCGCCACAGCGGGGACCTGGGGTGGTCAGAGGTGCAGCCAGATGAGGGGCTGCTTCCCGGGCCCTCGAAAACAGGGTGTGGGTGAGACCACCAGGGAGGCCGGAAGGCCGGGGAGGGGACAGTGACCGGGAGGCATGCCCCTGGGTTGGATGCGGTGGGGGGAGGGGCCCTGCCCTGGGGGTCCCACACTTCAGCAGACAACAGGGTGGCTGCTCCCCTCCACAGCGCCCCGGTACCGGCAGGGCATGGCTGGCACCCCAGGGCCGTCACAGGAAGCCGGCCAGGCCCCCCAAGGCACTCCCGGGCCATGTGGAGGGCAGAGCCGGTGGCGCGAAGGCCCCGGGGCTCCAAGGGCGCAGGCAGCAGCCAGGGGAGCCGCCGAGGGCCGCACAGCCGGCCGGGAAGCCGCCATCACCGGCGGGAGGAAGCCAGGGCCAGCTGCGAGGAGCACCTGGCACCCTGGGCCGCGTGGGGTGAGCCCGCACCCGCACAGCCACGGCTGCCGCTCCGGGCCCTGGCGGGCGCTCACCTGGCCACGCCCGGCCTTCTAATTTCAGGGACTGAGCAACAAGGCGCACCTGGGAGGGCCGCGCAGTGCGAGCGGCCGCCCCGCAGGGCTCAGCCCAGCCCTCGGCCCTGACTGGGGCGTCCACCCCGCTGCAGGCTGGGCTCCGGGCGGCTCCCGCGCGTGGGGAGAGGCCGCCCCCGCCAGGAATCACCCAGGGCCCAGCCAAGGGGCCGCCTCTGGGAGGGGGTGCAGGCTCCTCCCCCGCGTCAGCAGCACCCGTGGGCTCCCCGGAAGCAGAGGCGGGGTGGGCACGTGCCCAGGACCAGGGCCCGCCCAGATGCCCCGGAGACGCCCGAGCCGCGGCGCCTAGGGCTGCAGCCAGGGAGCGCGGACACACGCGGGACGGGACACCCCTTCCAGGCCACGCCGGCGACACGTCCAGAGCAGGTCAGTCACCGCCGGGACTGGGGTGTCTGGGTGCTGCGCCGCAGCCGCGCGGGCCTGGGGGGCGCGGGCCTGGGGTAGGGGGCGGGTGTGGGTGCGGACGGGCCTGGGGGGCGCGGGCCTGGGGTAGGGGGCGGGTGTGGGTGCGGACGGGCCTGGGGTAGGGGGCGGGTGTGGGTGCGGACGGGCCTGGGGGGCGCGGGCCTGGGGTAGGGGGCGGGGGTGGGTGCGGACGGGCCTGGGGGGTGCGGGCCTGGGCCGACGGGCGGGAGCGGACGGGCCGCGTTCTGGGTGTCGGCCGCTCCAGGCCTGTTTGCCTTTGCGGCCCGCGGCGTCGCATCACGTTGCGTGGTGAGCTGAGCTCAACACGAACTCATCTCCCAGTACTGGTGACGTGTGGGCTCCCGGCGGGCACGGTGCCGGTTGGTGCTGCACGTCGCCATGGGCTTTAGCCAATTTTTTTTTTTTTTTTTCAAAAAAGAAAAAAAGTGCCTCCTGGAGCCCTGAGGCCGCCGCCGGCAGGACCCCGCGGGCGTCTGTGCCAGGTGCGGCCCCTCCCGCTCCCAGGCCAAGGGGCTTCCTGCTCCCACCCCACCGCACCCCAGGGCGGGGCGCGGAGAGCCACCAGGGACAGCGGGCGCGGCCAGGCAGGACGTCCTCGCGGGGCCACGGCCTGCCCCGTGGCCAGCTTTATGGGCTTCTGCAGGAAATGCCCCGCGAGGCCCCGGCTTCCGTGCAGACTCACCTCTGCGGGCCGCCTGGCCCAAGGGTCGCAGGTGGACGGCAGGGCCGAGGGGGGCCGTCCCCCGGCGACGCGGGTCAGCAGACGCCCAGGGAGCAGCCGCACGTGGGAAAGATAATCGCTTTAATGTGTCCCTCGGGGCCAGGTCAGCGCGGCGCCCGCTGGCACGCACAGCCCCTGCGCTCCGCCCACGTGTACAAACATTTACAATGAAAAAATAGGCAAGGGAAAAGGACATCTTCACCACCCAAGTCCGCTTCTTGGCGACGCCTGCTGGAACCTGAAGCACAATGCCTGGCTGGCTGCGGCCGCCCGGGGCCAGCGGCGACGGGACTGGGGTCCGCGTGCAGCGGAGGGAGGATGGAGCGCCCTGGCCGAGGCAGAGTTCTCAGAGCCCCCAGGGCAGGGTCCTAAGCCCGAGCCGATAACGGCATCTAGACGCTCCCTCGCGCAGAGCAAACCGCCCCGAGGGCGTGTTAGGGACACGGCCACGAGGCGACCACCGCGCTGTCCAGCGCCCTGACTTTCTCCGAAGGAAGTGGACTCTGGAGAGAGCCGAGTGTCCGCCTCACCGGGGTCGGGGCCGAGTCCCGCGTCTTCGGAGGCGAGCCCGAGCCCAAGTCCATCCGCGGCCCAGGCGCCCAGGCGGGCGGCCTCAGGGGCGGGAGCCGCGCCGGCCCCGGGCGCCCAGGGACATGCGCAGCCGCGGCTCGCGGGCCCGGTAGTGCTCGTTGAAGTCCAGCCGGAAGCTGAGGAAGCGCAGGCTCTCGTCGGGGCTGGTGGTGAGCAGCACCAGGAACTGCTGCACGATGCCCTGCGTGCACGAGAGGACCGGGCTGGGCTGCGCCCTGGGGTGCCCCGGGTTCCCCCTGAAACCACCTGTCCGCGGACCCCTCCCCCACAGCGGGCGCACGGCCCAGCTCCAGGGCCGGGGCGGGGGCCGGGGGCGGGCGGCACCTGGTAGAAGTGCGTCAGGATGCGCAGCTGCGAGCACATCTTGGGTATGGACTCCCGGAACTCGCGGGCCCGGCCCTTCTCCTCCTCCTCTTCCGCGGCGGTCACTCCCCACTGGCCCTGGGGGCCAGAAGCAGCCATGAACGCAGGGTCTGTGGAAACGTGCCCTGGGGCCTGTTCTGGCGGCAGCGGCATCGCAGGCCGGGCGGCAGGGGCGGGGCGCACGACCAAAGCGCCGAGGCCGATGAGGTGCGGCCACACAGGGCCCTGCGCCGGCCAGAGGGCCCCTCCCGGGCTGCCCCCGCCCCGCGCCCCCGGCCGGCAGAGCACCCCCTAGGCGCGCCCCTCCTGCTAGCCTTCCCCAGCCCACCCCGCGGCCACCCGCACGGAGCCGGCACAGGCCTGGAGCCCGCCGGGGCCGGTCCTGGCTTTGGCAAGCGCGACCTCCAGCCTCGCGAAGCGTCTCCTGTCTTCCCACATCCTCACCCAGCCCTGGGGCGACGGCCCCGTCGCCAGCAGCGGCCACACTCCCTGTGACCCGAGGCCCTCCCAGGACTGCATGCTGGCGGGCGGGCGCCGCCACAACTGCTGTCCCTGTGGGTCAGCGCGGGGCCGCCTCCCCGTGGGCCGAGCAAGCTGTGGGAGCATCCCCCGCTGTGCCGCCTCCTGCCCTCCCCACAGGCGAACTGCAGCCACGGGGAACCCCACAACCTGCCCCTCGATGCTGCCCCCTCTGCACAAGCCACAGGCGGCAGGGGCACGGTGGGCGGGCAGAGGCCTGAGGGTGACACCCCACCACCCTACATGGGTCTCCCAGCTGTCCTGCCTGACAGGCCTCCCCAGGACCGACTCCAAGTTCTGTGCCCTCCCCTGCAGCAGGGGAGGGGCCCAGCCCACCTGCCCGACCTGGCCCTCGTAAAGACTGTTCTGGGCTCCCCCTCCACAGCCATGGCCTTTGTGAGAGACACCCCTACCTAACAACACCCCTCTGCTGGGCCCGCAGCTCGGCTAGGATCAGGGCGGGGTGTGCAAAGCAGACCCCAGGGAGCTAACGGGCACCAAGCTAACCCCCAGCGGGCACCAAGGTCGCCATGTGACGTGTGACCAGGCCAAGAGAAAGCCCCTCGTCCCAGGCTCGACTTGAGAACCTCGTCACAAAGGGGCAGCTGGGGTGACCAGGCGGGGCGCCTGGAGCAGCTCCCCGGCCCCACAACACACGGCCCCGCCGCTCAATGCCCCACCTCGGCCTCACGCTGCCTTTTCCTCTCCTCAAACTGGAGGCGCCTCTGCAGCTCCCCCAGCGCGGCCCTGTAGATGGCGTCCTGCGTGTTCTGCAGCTCGATGATCTGGTCAAACACGGCTCGGAGCTGGTTCAGGAGGGCCTGGGGGAAGACCACGTTCCGTCACCAGCGCCCAGGGGCGCTCTGTGCGCCCCACAGGGGCGTGCAGCCTGGGTGGGAGACACAGGCTCCTGAGCTGCCCGGCCGACACGCCTGCGGCCCCAGCACTTCCCGCAGCGGCGCACAGGGCCCCCCGCCTTCCAACCCGCTGCGTCGTGAGGGAGCTGTCATCAGTGACCTCTGAGGACGCCACGGCGACTACTTCGGGGTGCCCACACACGACCCTGGGCCTGACGGCACAAGGTCCGTGGAAACCCCTGCCCCAGAAACAGCAGCCCCGAGCTGGGCCAGCGAGCGCTTCCCACGGCAGAGGAAAGAGCCGAAGCCAGGAGCGAGAGCGAGGAAGCCGGTGGGGGAGGCAGGCCGAGAGGGGGCCCGTGTGCCGGGAGCTCACGGCCGAGAAACCGCCCGTGGGCCGGCAGGAAGACCAGCCGCCTCTCCCGCGAGGCCCAGCTCTCCACTCTGAGGCCAGAGGGGAGACGCCGTGGGGGACAGCGGCCAAGGGCTCTGGGGTCAAGGGCAGGCCAGAGCATCCCACGCAGGGAGGCGCGGGGAGCAGTCGGCAAGTCGCCCAGAAGCGCGCGTTGGATGAAGGGGAGCTGCGGGGACAGCCGCCCGTCCTGCCGGCGGAGCACCGTGACCGCAAGTGGAGCCAGTGCCGTCAGCAGTCAGAGAGCCCGGGGCCCTTCACCACGGGGCCACCCCGGGCTCTGCCCACAGGGCCACCAGGGTGTGGAAGTGCCGCGGGCCTGAGTGAGCAGGTGGAGAAGCCGGCCCCGGGTCTGGAAGAAGCTCTGCTCTGGGCGAGACGCGACCCACGGCCCCGCTGCCAGAGGCGTCGCTCCTGAACGCAGAGGCCGCCGCTGCCCGGTGAGCTTAGGAAGCTGCGAGCACCACCCGCTGCTGCCCGGTGAGCACCGTCCACGCAGGCGCCAGGCCCCGCAGCGCTGAGCCCGCGGCGGCACAGACGAGACCGCAGCTGAGCCATAAAGGCTCCTAACTGAGGCGTGTACCTGGCCCAGGAGCCCAGGCCCGTGCCGCCCGGAACGCAGGTGGGCAGGCGAGTCCACACGCCCTACCCAGGTGGACGCCCAAAGGGGCATGCAGAGGCGAGGAAGGACAGCCTTACAAGATGTCCCAGAACAAGGTCAGTGAGGTGTTTCCAAGGTGGGCGGCATGTTTGCTGGAAAAAGCTCTGCAAGGTCCAGAGGCCGCTCGCCCACACAGCGCATGCACAGGGCAGTGCCCTCAGCTGCTTTTCAATCCATAAACAGTTTGAGCCGGGGAAAAAGGTAATTCCAATAGTGTGAGGAAAAATAAATTGCGTTGATATTTAGGGCCCACAGATTTGCGTGACGCGGGTGAACAAAGCAGGATGGGCCCCACACGGGGCGCCCAGGGGCAGCTGGCGCCGGAGGTGAGCCACGTCCTACCCACCAGCCCCGCCCGCACCTGCAGGCAGCGACAGCAGCAGACACACCCTGGGAGGAGAAACAAAACCCCCTTTCTAGAGAAGCAGCTGGGTCTACGAGGCCGTCTGGACAATGCTGAAGGGAAAAGTGGATGAGATCGTCGACGTGCAGACAGCCGTGCGGAGCGCGCAGCGCCCCCAGGACAGGCACGCGGGCCTCGCCAAGAAGCTGCCATCAACAGCGGCCGTCCCAGCCAGGGCTGGCGCCCGGGTTAGGACAAGTGGACAGAGCTCGGCCCTGAAGCAGATCCCGCGGCAGCTAGGCCAGAGCTGCGACCTGGGCCCGCAAGAAGCCACGGCTGCAATGGAAGCACCCCGCAGACCGGCTGCCCGCACCCGGGAAACTGCAAACCCCAGCAGGCCTGCCACGCTGAGGGCCATGCAGGGCTGTCTGGGCAGCAGCCTCACAGGGTGGCAGCCAGCCCTCTCTACCTAGCCGGGCCGGCCAGCAGGGCCCCTGCCCACTCGCAAGGCCCTTTGTGGGCTCGCCCAGGGACAGGGCCCCTCCGTGTGGCGGGACTGTGCCGGCCCCACACACCCCACCAGGCGCGCGGCCCTGCTCGCCCAGAGGGCCTGACTGCAGGACAGAGGCCACGCAGACCCCGCCGCAGCCTCCGGGCCTGTCTTACGCGAGAGTCGGCGTCCAGCAGGCAGCGGGAGATGATGGTGTCCAGGAACACCTCGTGCGCAGCGATGATGTGGTCCAGGTCCTGCGCCTGCTGCACCTTGTTCCAGAGCTCGTCCCAGGAGCACTCGAGCACCTGGGGACAGTGCAGGGATGTGGGTGAGCGCCGCGGCATGCACGCAGCCACGCACCCAGCCACGCGCCAGACTGACCTCGAAGGTGATGTAGTACTGCATCTGGTGGATGAAGTGGACCATCTCAGAGGCCAGGACGTGGCAATGGTGCAGCACCCCAGAGCACTCTGCAAGGGCCATGCTGTCTCAGCCACGGGGGACGTGCGGGGGTGCGCCCGCCCGCCCGCCCGCCCACCGGCCCCGAGCCTGGAGATCACAGGCTGCAACTCCCAACCCTCAGCCAGCAAGCGGCTCCACAGTTCCCTCCCGGGCCCTCGGGCTAGCCGGAGACCTCAGGGGTGTCACTTCACACTCGGGAACCCACTGGCAGGCACAAAAGACATCACTGTCAGCTGACGGCACCGCCCGGCCATGCTCCGCCCCCGGCATGGGCCTCCTGACCAGCCCTGCCGTCCACTGGCCCTGCCGCTCGGTCCCAGGGCATGGACCCCTGGGCACAGCCGTGTCCCCCAGACAGTGGCCTTGACCCCAGCCCCTTGTCATCCGCCACCGGGTCGCAAGCCTGGGCAGCATGAACGCTGGCCGTGGGGGCGGCTCTCCCTTGCACTGACCCGCATGGGCCCCTGCCCGCCCCTTCAGCCTCACTGCGCGAGGAGCGCTCAGCGACAGCGCTAAGACACTTCTGTCGAGTATTCTTAGAGGGACAGCCCGGGAACACCTTCCTCCCGAGAGGTCCTCCTGCGGCCGCGGCGCCTGGCCAAGGGGCCGCACACAGCGCGGAGCGAGCCCCTCTGATGTCAGGCGGCGTCTCCTGCCCACGTCAGGTGGGCTCCAGGTGCGCTGGGAGACGGGCACACCGAGGCTGGGCCTGAGCGTGCCAGGAGGCACCTAAGCACCCCTGAGCTCTTGGGCACCCCGCTCAGGGCCCCAGCAAAGCCAACCTGCAGAGGCCACTGAGTCCGTGCCCCGACCCCGGCCAGAGCGAGCCGAGCCTGGGGTGGCAGGGCTGTGTCATCTGGGTAGCGGTCAGAGCACAGACCAGAGAACATGCACACTGGCCAGGCCAGCAGGCCCATCTCCAAGTGTCACCCTGGACAGACACCCCCACGGCCGCGCGCGCCAGTCAAACCCAAGACGTGATCACGCTGTTGGGGACACGGGCAACACCGCCCGGCCAGGAGGGGCAAGGCGCGCGCGCACAGCCTGTGTCACGACTTGGTGGCTCCATCTTGGGGACGACAGGACAGAGGGTCAGTGACCCGAGGGGAGCCACACTCCGCGGGAGAGGACCGGCTGCGGGAAGACCCCGGGGCCCACCTGGCATGCCCCTCAGCAGCTTGGCGTTGCACATGTGGCCCTTCCGGATGTCGGTCAGGATGTACTCCATGCGCTTGGCCCTCCAGAGGAAGTTGAAGACGCGCAGGTAGTGGCTCATGCACTCTCGCGTGAACACCTGCGGGCAGGGGGCCGGGCTGAGTGTGCGGGACCCAGACACCCCTCCCCCCACCGCCGTCTCTGCTCGACCAACGAGTCGAAGAGCGCGACAGCCCAGCAGCCGCCCAGCGTGGACGCCTGTGTCTGAGGACAGCGGCTCATCGAGGGTCTGCTGGCTCTCTGCTGCCTCTGGGCGCCCTTGTTGGGGTCACAATGCAGATGACGGGTTGGGAGGGTGGGGAGGGACTCCCAGCCCACCAGGTGCTGGGGACCCTCTGCCCTGCTGCCCGCGCCACCACCACTGCCAGGCCAGCGGCGGAGCGGGCGCCATGGTGCACACACGGAAGGCCTCGCTCTGCAGACCGGCTCCCAGCGTCGGCCAGGCCCTCTGCCAGCGCCGGCTCACGTGAGGCTTCGGGGACGCTCACTGCCAGGCGCCGCCCCCGCAGGGCCCGAAATCCAGACGCCGCCTTGTGTCCTGAGCAGCCAGGGCGTCTGTGAACCCAGCCAAGGGGTCAGTCTACCCAGACATGACCCCTGCGGACCCTGCTTGGCACCACATGGGACCCGCAGGGAGGCGGGATGTCCGCGGGAGTCGCTCCCGGCGCTGACCCCCAGGAACTCTGAGGGGAAGCCTTGGTGGCAACCCCCACGCTTCTGAACAAAGTGTTTTCCTGAGTAACCAAGGAAACGCTGCCCTTCACCGGGACACGCAGGAAGGAGAGAAGCATGGCAGAGGGCATCTTGGCTGCGGGCTCGTGAGCCTGACGGACCAGCCAAGCCACGGCGGCCGTGGCTGTGACCCCAGGGCGCGCCCGGCAAGAGCTCGGGGCGCCAGGACCAGCGTGAAACTCGGCTTCCCTGAAACACGTTCTAGCTCTTCTCAGTCGTCCTCAAGCAACCGCCACAGCCTGCGGAGGGCGGCAGACGCACCTCCACTTGCTGCGTGCTGCCAGGGCTATGGGACAACAGGCGGGTTTTTCAGAACCCCGAGGGAGCGGACGAGTCACCCCATGTGGTGGGGCTCTGCCCCCGGCCACTCGGCAGCCACTGCCGGGCTCCAGGGGACGGCAAGAGGCGGTGTCCACGCTTACCGTGGCGATGGGCCCGTCCACATGGTAGTCCAGGCTGAAGACGTCCCACCCCGTGTCGCCCGGAGAGACCTGGAGCAAGGACAGCGCTGGGAACAAGCCTTGCGTGTGGCCCCGCCAGCCCGGCCCCCCCGCCTCCCGCGCCCAGACCGGCCGCACCTCCAGCAGCCGCACGTCCAGCCGGCGGAGGATCTCGGGGCTGTCAAACTGGGCGTTGGTGGCCCTGACGGCCGTCTCCAGGATCCCGGTCAGGCTGTGCTGGTACAGGGTCGTGGCCGGGCGCACGAGTTCTGGCCTTCACGGGGTGGTCAGAGAGAAAACGAAAAGTCACTTGATCTCCTCAAGAGCTTCCTAGGCGCTTCTTTTTAGGACTCTTTTCTAAAGAGCTGAGATCTCAAAAATTAAAGACGCAGGGAGCTGAGGCGGCAGCAGCCGAGCTTCACAGCGCCGCGTGAGCAGAAGCCGTTTCACCAGGCACCCAGGGAAGGAGCTACTTGGGGATCTCAAACTCATCCCATCCGGCGTACCCCGGGACGGGCCGGGAACGCCAGCTGTGCCCACGGCCGACCACGCCTCCGGCAGGAGTGGCCACTTGGCCGGCCTCAGCCCCCCAGCCGCCTCCCTGAGGGGCCCCCAGGCCTCTGTCCCTTCCAGCGAGGGCGCCCTGGGGGAGGGCCGGGCCAGGGCAGGCAGCCGCCTGCACCCCCAGGGCCCACGTGAGCCCGCCCAGGCACCCCCAGGCACAGCCTGGCTGGGGGCAGCTGCCGGGCTGGGGTGCCAACAGCGGCTGGCGGAGATGCTCACGGGCCACAAGCGCAGGCAGGGCCCCTGCGCCGGCCGCAGCGCTGGGTCACAGGGCGCGACAGGCCCTGGCACACGGTGCCCACGTCGCTGTGGGTGAGGGGGACACGCAGCTGGGCGGGGACAGGCCGCCAGCAAGTCGGTGAACGCACCCAGGGGCTCCGCTGGCCGGAGGGGCTCTCACGTGAACAATGCAAGAACCAAAGGAACAGACGCTTCCCTCCCCAGCCCACGCCGCACTCAGGCTGGCCGCGACGGGAGCCCGGCGCTGGGACCCCAGGATCCCCCCAGGGCCGGCCTCAGGCAGAGCTGCCCCGGCCCCCGCCGCGCCTACTTGAGCAGGTCCATCAGGTGCCGGATGAAGTCTCCCTGGCCGAGCAGCAGGTAGCGCCGCATGGCCTGCATGTGGTCCAGCAGGCTGTACTTCCTGTTCAGGACGTCCAGCAGGCGCTTGCTCGTCTCGAAGTAGGCCGCGTCGATCTTCCCCTGGAAGGCGTTCTCCAGGTCCGAGACCAGGTCCGCGGCTGCGGAGGGACAGGCATGTCCACCTTGGCACCGGCTCCCGGCCAGAGGAGCGGCCCGCGCGGCCTCCCAGCGCCCACCCGGCGAGCTTGCCCACGCTGACGGCCGGTCGGGGCCTTCCAGCCTGCTCATGCCCGAGCCTCCCCGCACGGCAGTCCCTGGAGAGCGCCCGCTGCCCCAGCGTACCGCCAGCCCCCCAAGGCCGTGAGGGGCGCCCATGTCCACTCCCCAGCACAGGGTTCCCGCCTCTGCGGCCCGGCCCACCACCCGGCCCTGCAGCGCAGCGCTCAGAGTGTTCCGGAACTCTCCTCTAGCCAGTCCTCCGGGACAAGGAGCGGCTGGCCAGGGGCCCACAAGTAGGAGCCCGCACCCCTGCTCTCCAGGGCGCACCCGAGACCACCAGGCTCAGCGCGGTGGTCAGCACGGGGACCAGGCAGCCCGGCCAGCAGCGGGCCCACGGGTGGAGGGGCAGCCCGGAGGGAAGACAGGCCGGGGGCTCAAGACAGCAGGGGAAGATCCGCCCGAGACCCAGTGACCCCACTTTTGGGTGTGAGGCCCAAGGACCTCAGCGAGCTTCCTGCCCCCATGTGAGTGGAGGCCCCTGGTGGATGCAAGGTGCTGGGAAAAGCCAGATTGAAAAGAAGAATTCGTGATGCTTGTGGCCACATGAGGGCCTGGAGGTGGCGCTGAGACACGCCAGGAAGAGGCGGCCGCTGTGTGGGACGGTGGACATGGGGCTGCAGAGCTGAGGAGGCGGCCAGCAGGCCAGGGGTTCCGGGCCGGGGCCCAGCAGGGAGCCGCGGTGCCCGGACAGGCCGCCCTCAGAGCAGAGCCCGCACAGCCCAGGGCCAGGGATCTGGCCTCTTCACATGAGCCCGTGGGGACCATCACGGCAAAGCCACGTCAGCTCCCCTGTGGCTCCCACAGAGACATGAATGAACCCAGATGGCTGCAAACAGCCGCTTCTGGGTCGGAAGCCACGAGCCAGCCCCAGCCCGGCGTGCGCGGGAAGAGGCAGCGGGCAGCCAACAGGGCACACAGGCTCTCGGGCCCGAGCAACGCTGCCCACCGCCCCCCACCCGACTTCAGAGCGGCCTGGGCCTCCCAGAGTGCGTCTCCCACTAGCAGCTTCTGCATCTTCTGGCCCTGGAGCATGGTCGCTTTGTCATTAAAAACCTAAGTCACCACAAAGGGTCAGACGGCCACGCCGACCCCAGCACCTGCTGCCGCTGCCTGTCAGGAGGGGTCCCGGCAGTGACATGTACACTCAGGCGCCGGCTGGTCCCGTCACACCGCTTGGAGCCGCGCACGTGGCACCCGCGCCTGCCCCGCCGCCCCCCACCACCGCCCTGTCCCACCGCGCACCGTCCTGGGGCGACTCTGCAGGCTTCGTCACAGCGATGGTCCTGGTGGTGGGCGTCTGGTCGTGACAGACCTGATGCAAGAAATTTATCGACTTTCCTATCAAAAGGACCTGAAAGAGGAAAAGACCCTGGAGTTACTCAGGGACCCACGTCACGTCTCCTGAAGCGGCCGTGTGGAGAGTCCACCTCGAGAACTTTCTGCGGAGAGTCCCGTCGTAGTCAGGACCCGTTAGTTACGGAACAAGAAGACCAAACGCTGAACTGCACCTATTCGCCAGCCACGAGCGGCGCCGACTGGGACCCAGAGGACGTCGGACGCGGCGAGTGAGCGAGGCACTGGAGGGGGCCAGGGCAGCGGGCGGATGGGGGCGGGGGGCGCACCTTCCGGGACTGCTCCGCGGTGATGAAGGAGGGCACCATGGACTTGCGCAGCGTGTACTTGTCGTGCCAGAGCCGGTCTGTCTTGACGGTCGGGTCAGATGCCACAAAAAACTGGAAGCAGAGAGCAGTGGAAGGTGGCAGAGGAGCCTGCGGCGCAACCCCAGGCAGCGGCAGCGGGGCATCACCCCAGACCCGCGAGCCCCCCCAGCACGCTGTCAGCGCCGTTTCAAAGCATCCCGGCCCGACCTCTCTACACTGAACATCTATTTCTCGGAGCTCAAAGACCGAAGACCGACCAAAGCGCGTCTTTCCTGGAGATCTGAGTCTTCAAGAGCATCAGTCCAGCCCACTGTGTCCCCAGGCCCTGGAGTGAGGGCGCCCCCCCCCCCAACCAGGGAGCCGGGGGCTCTGAAGCGGCTGCCCCCTTCCCGCTACGTCCCTGCAGTGCCGGCCCGAGGCCGGGGCACAGGTGCTGGGGACGCTCCGTCCCTAAGGGAGAGACGCCATAGCCACCCGGCCCCGGAGGAGGCCTCCCGGAGAGGCCCCTGTGCTACGATGAGCACGCCACTGTGAGGGAATTAAAAAGCACCCCAAAATCAGGGGCCTCCCCGGTTAGTCTAAGGCTGTCACTGCTGCGGCCTGAGTGCGATCTCCCGCCAGGGAGCTACCCACAGGGCGCAGCAGACCTCTCCTGCCTCCCCGCTGCTCCCCTCAGCAGTGTGTCTCAGTGGATCCGCCCGTTCTGCTCCCCGCTCTGTCTCTGGGGAATCCTCTCACCCCCTGTACCTCGGCCCACACCAGTTCTGCACACACAAAAAAACTTTAAAACAAATACATAAACAAAAAGCATCCTCAGTTACTCAAAGACCTAAGGGGAGCGTCTAGAGACTCGGGATCCGGCGGGAGGCGGCAGCGAGAGCAGCACTCGGGTGAGACAAAGGCCTCAGACGTCACGGGACAGGCAACCCAGGGGGCCTGGAAATTCAAACTCTGACCTACTGTTTCCGGAACCAGCCACACCGAGGGCCGCCGTGAGCCGGGGAGGCCGCCAGTCGGGTCCCCCACGAAAGAGCGACACACCAAGCGGTTACGAGGACGGGAGGAGAACGCGAGCTCGCACCCAAAATCCGCCCTCGCCCCAGCGGCAGAGCCACCCGGAGGCCCGCAGGACAGAGGCCTGGACGTGGCCCGGTCTTGCCCCACAGAGATTCACTCCGTGGGCGGGCAGGCGGACGGGGGGACCAGAGTGGGGAGGGCGGCCAGAGGTGCCCGCACCCCCAGGCCGCGCCGGCTACCCCTTCCCCCACCACTCCCTCCGGGAGCCTCCCCGAGCGCAGGCGGCCCGAGGCCCCTCAGCACCGGAGCTTCACTCAGGGCTCCACGGACACACCCGGCAGGAGCAGGCGCCACCTCGTGCGCACGGGATTGGGGGGCCGGGCTCCTCGCGGCAGGCATGGGGTGTCGCCGGGAGGGCCTGTGAAGCTCGGCGGCCACGAGGGCACCAAGGGGCCACACTGGGAGACTGGAGGAAAACAGGAACCCACAGATGGGCCACCCCCAAGCCCCAGAACCTGCACTCTCACACGCCCCAGCTCAGAGAGCCCTCCTGCACCCCACAGGCAAGCCCCGGGCCGAAGGGTCCAGAGCAGCTGCCCCCTCCGGCCACCTCACACTGGTTCCAGCCCCGGGTGGCACCGCTGCCTGCCGGGAGCCTGCCAGGAGGGGCTGAGCCCGCACTTCCCAGGGCCGGCAGGGGCGCCGCGGGGAGGGAGAGGGAGGGAGGCCCACTGCCAGGCCCACCTCGTGGTGCGTGTCCTCCAGCTCCCCGTCGTAGATCCAGCGGTACAGGAAGCTGAGCACGGGGTGCGACACCAGGCTGAGGATGTGCCGCACCAGCGCACGCGTGCAGGGGTCCCCCGTCTTCGTGTAGGCGTGCACCGCCGAGGCCAGCTCCCCGCCCTTCCTTCCTGGGGAGACACAACACGCGCCCGTGGCCTCGCGGCAGACCAGCTCGTGACCAGGGCAGGGCAAACTCGGGGACGGGCCCCGGAACAGGGACCCAGGGATGCCTCCCGTCGGGTCCCCTCTCCCCTCGCCTGGATGAGGAGCTGAGCCTCCAGGGGCTAGCACCGGGTGGGCGGGCAGCCGGCCGCTTCCCCGTGCACTCACACCCACCAGGCTGCCCCCGACCCACACGGATGGCCACCAGGGGCACCTCAGCAACGCTCCCTAGCCGCTCTGGAGCAGGCAGGCCCGGAGGCCCGCGTGGAGAGCCGCGCGACCTTGGCAGTGGTCCACGAGGGCCGCGAGGGTCTTCAGCCGGATCTTGGGGTCGTACGTCCAGACCAGCAGGCGCCGGAGCGTCAGGCTGCTCTCCAGCCCCAGGCTCACACCCTGGTCGTCCTCCAGCTGCAGCTGGGGGCCAGGAAGACGCCGGGTGTGAGCGCCGCTGGGGTGCGCGTCAGCCTCGTCTCAGCCCCGGCAGCGGGGACCCAGCGGACCACCGGTCACCCCATGCCTGAAAGGGGACGTGCCCATCTGCTACACGGCAGCGGGTGACTCTGGGGCCTGGACACACATCGCGCTCGTTCATATGGCACGTTTTTTGGATGAAAAGCGACCTGCCGGCAGGCCCCAGCCGAACGGGAACTGCCCGAGGCGCCCGCCGGCCAGACAGCGGGGGCTGCATTCTCGTGAGAAAGGGGCGGGCTGAGAATCGCCATCCCCTCCTGCCACTGGGGTCTGTTTCACTGGAGACGGGACCCTGAAAGTGAGCCCTGAGCGGGTTTTAGGACACCCTGAAACTGCAGGTAACCAGACCTCACGAAGGGCGCTAGCGGTGATTTTCCTCTCCAACTAACGAGCGGTGCTAAAGCCCGTCCGCCTGGACGCAGCGGGGGCGCAAGACGCCGCGGCACTGACCTGGGAGTGCAGGACGGACAGCAGCCGGTAGTACTCCCGCAGCTCCTGGTGCAGCGCCGCGCAGAAGCTCTGTGGGGGCAGGCGATGAGGGGCGGGGCACACGTGGTCTCCACGCCGCGCGCCGCACACATGTGGGGTCTCCACGCCGCACACACGCGCACGGCCCCAACAGCGACGGCAGTCCTGGGCGCTGTGGCATCTGGCCGGGCCTGCCAGGGCCCCCCTCTTTGGAGTGGACCTCCGCCGGCCAGCCAGCGCTTCCTCAGGCCTCCCCATCTGGAAAGGACCCCGCAGGCTCCCGGGCGGCACCCACCTGGCCCACAAGCCCAAAGGAGCGGTCGGGGCCCCGCTGGTCCGTATAGCGCCGGATCTTGTTGTGCAGCCAGCCCAGCTCGGACAGCCGCACGGCCGTGTCCCGCAGCGACTTGCTCAGGCTGGCCTGGGGGGAGAGGCTGGTGGAGCCGCAAGGCCAGCACGGAGCCACGCACCCACCGCCCCGGGCCTGGGCTCTGTGGCCATTGGCCGTCCAGACATGGACCTGAGGGCAGCCACGCGGCTCCACCACAGGGGAAGCGCCGGCGAGACCCAGGGCCACGCAGCAGGGGAGGGCGCCACTGGCCCAGGGGGATGCGTGTGCAGCAGGGACAGGACATGGGACCGGAGGGAATGCGAGCAGGCAGAGGTGCCGCGTGCGGGCCGAGCCAGCCACCCGCAGAGCTCCGACCCGGGCAGTCAAGCGGGAGCTGCATCAGGGAGGCGGGCGGGAAGGCGCCAACACCACGGCCCAGGGGCCAGACCCGTGGAGGTGGCACGGGCGGGTCTGACCACGCGGACACCCTCACCAGAGAGCAGCCCCACCGCCGGCAGCGTGACGCAGGTGCAGGCCGTACCGTGCCCTCCACCCTGTAGCAGTCCTCGGTGCTGCTCATCCTGACGTGCTTGCCGTCTATGCCCTGGAAGACGTAGAGGATGTCCCTGACCAGGGCGGCCTCGGTGATCTCCGCAGCGCCTGCAAGGTGACCGTGAACAGTGACCGCCACGCACCTCGCCCCCAGACGCAGCGCGGGGACCGTGGAGCTGGGCCCGGAGCAACTTCAAAACTGAAAACACACAACCCAGGACGGAGCAGGAGGGCGAGAGAACGTCTGCGCGCGCCCCCCCTAGAGACCGGCAGCGCGTTCTGGGGCAGGAGCAGCAGTCGCCTCACGTGCTCGGGAGAAGCGGCCCCGACAGCGACAGAAGACACCACACGGGGAGGCGCTCACGGGACAGAGACGTCCCATGACTTCCACGAGCCTCGTTAAAAAGCTAAGTCCAAGGTCCACGCGACCAGCACAGCGGGGTGCAGGAAGGCCCCGCGGAGGGAGGAGGGAGGTCTGTGCCCAGGCAGGGGGCGCCCTGAGGTTCTGTGCAGGCCCTGCCCACACCGGCGCAGGGAGGTGCGGGCGCTGTTGGGGCACTCACCCCCCGTGCCCCCCTCTCTCTGGGGCCTCGTCAGGCTGCGAGCCGCGGTGCTGGGGAGGCCTCTGGAGGCCGTGGTCTGCGCCGAGGGCTGTTGCGCCGTCAGGGTCCAGGCCAGACGCGGGCCCAGCTGCTGCCGGAGCCCTTCGCCCAGCCCCGGGGCGGGGTGAGTCTGTCTGAAGGAAGAAGGAAGCCCTTGTGGTGCAGTGAGCAGGCGCCCCCCGCCCCGGCCTGGCCAGCTTGCCCCGGCACGCACGGCCACCCGACTCCTTCAGCGGACAGCGCCGGTGCACCACCCACCCCGCGGAGGTCCCCACGCGAGCCGACACCCGCGGCCTCCTCCTGGGATGTGAGCCCCGACTTAGGCCCTGAAGCGAGGCAGCGACCCGGGGCTCAGCCCCACAGGCCGGCGCCGGCCCTCTGAGGCGTCCCGGGCAGCGCAGGCGACTGGTTGGCTGGGCTGGACACATCTGCCCTCTTTCTTCGGTCTCTCTCGCACCAAGTGTTCACTGTTTTGTTTTAGTCACGAGCAAGGACTAAGCCAAAGCCCCCAGCCCTGCCGATAAAGGCAGGACCCCGGCCTGTGCTCGCTGCAGGTCTCACACACGGCCCCCTGACCTGCCGGGGCAGGCTCAGACTCCACGACAGGGTGGACAGCGGTTAACTTTAGGTAGGCTGGGCATATGGAGGATGCTGCAGGACACACCTGCTGTCCTTCTAGGACTTTCCGTACCATGGACACACCTTCTGTGCAGAACACGTTAAGCCACAAGGATTTATAACCACGGTGTGCTGCTGTGGGACGACCACCTGCTCATGAATCCTGGGCCACTGTTCTAGAAAAATCCCCCTTTAACACTTGCCACAAGGCAATGTCCAGGCAAGAACTAGACACAGGCCTGGGCATCAGAGAAACAAATACCAACTCTCTGGCACTGCCTGACAGTGTGGCACCTGCCTTGACCTCGAAGTGGCAGATGCCGCGCACTGAGCCCCAGACCAGGGAGCAGCACCCCTCACCAGTGCCTGTCGGGGCCTGACCAGAGCCCTCAGGGCTGGGGCCCAGTGCCCCGAGTGGCTAAGGTGCATGCACAGATGGTGAACCACCTGGAGGTGAGCGCGGCCCTTGACGGCCCGTGTGGACACCCTACCCGGGAGGCCCCCAAGGGAGTTTCCACCCACAGGACGTGCTGGTGCGCACAGATGTGAGCTGGTACATGGCAGGGCGGGCAGCACAGGGCGGGGCACAGGCGTACGTGCTGATGCTGCTGATGCCGCTGCTGCCCAGGCTGCCTGCACTCTGTGCCGACTGTGTGCCGCGGTCCTGGTAGCTCAGCGGGAGTGTCTGCGGCCTGGCACAGAAGTAGGGCGTCGAGTGGGCGTCTCGGGGTAGAGCTTGGGCGAAGAGGGCCGCATAGCTGGAGACCTGGCGGAGGGAGGCGATGCGTGAGGACCAGTGCCCAGAACACCAACATACGGGCTCTGCCTATGTTCGGAGCTGCCCCCAACAGCTCCTGCCCTGCCGCTGGCGCAACCCTCGACTCAGAGTCCCTCCATGGAGCCGCGCAGGGCTGGGCCTTCTGGACGCCGGCGCTGCCCGGGCGGAGGGACGCACGCCCGCTCACCCCTGCTCTCCAGCCCCCTAAGCGCCGCTGGCCAACCCAGAACACGACGCAGCCCAGGTGGAGACGAGGGCCAGCAGCGGCGGGCGCTCACCTTGTGCGGCTGCTTGCGGGGGTCCTCGCTGAGGCTGAGCAGCAGGTAGAGGATGGACCACTTGTTTTTCAAGACTCCCTGCTCAGAGAGAAGCGTTGACTGGTTCTGCGCCGCTCTCAGGAAGCCCCCCGCCCTCTCCCCCGAACAACCCTGTCCCAACAGCGGTCAGTGTCCTCTGGTCCCCGAACGGCTGCTCTCAGCGTCCAGCACCACCAGAAACATGCGAAATTGAGTTTTTTATGACTCAGCACACAGCACAAAGTGGGCAGGGCTGACCGGCGGGCGGGCCGAGCCACCAGCTGCCCGGGGCGGACGGCGGCGCCAGAGCCCCAGCCCGTGCCCCACCTGCCCGCCTCGGCCTCACGCATCTCCGCGGCTTGCGCCCGGCCAGCCAGAGCCGGCCGAGCGGAAAATCCCCGAGAACACAGAGAGCGGCGCCGCCCCTCGGAGCCGCCCCACGGCGCAGCGACCCGCCCGCCACCCGGGCCCACCTGCGAGTGCAGCTTCCTGTGGAGCTCCGAGAACAGAGCAGCATCCGTCTCCCGCCTCTGTCGGGTAACTGAAAGGAGCGAGAAGATGAGCGCGCCGGCCCCCAAGACCTGACCACCCCCGCGCCGCCCTCTGAGGAGCGACGGCTCTGAAGGACGCCGCTGGAGCGGGAGAGTCTGCTCATGCGCTTACGCCCCGACGCCTGCGAGGCGGCCTGCGAGAGGCCAGGCCAGGGGCAGAGAGCGGCCGGCGCGCGCGCCACGGGAGTGGGCAGGGCGGCTCTCCCGAGCAGTCACCAACAGCCGGAGCAAACGGCCACCACCTTGCAGCCGCCGGGGCCCCTGCAGGAAAGGGCGGTGTCTGCGCAGCCCGCGTCCAGAGGACAGTCACAGACACGCAGACCCGTCGCCGTGGCTCGTGTGACGGAGCACCGCTCCCCAGCCCCGTCTGCCGCGGGCAGAGCTTCCCCCGCTGGTGGAGCCAGTCAATTACCGCCTCAGAATAAGAGGCAAATAGCTCACGGCTCACCTTCCTGCAGAAATTCACTTATTACTGAGTGTCTCCAGCAGCGTGGGCGAGGCTGGCCGGCGAGCCAAGCCACCCCCAGGAGACCACCGGGGCGGGCCTGGGGGACCCTGCGACCATGGGGGAGGGCGCGCGTCCGCCGTGTTCCGATCCCACAGGCCCAGCCCACATAGCCCGGGTGTGACCCAGTGTGGTGAGCCCGGGGCTGGGCGGCCTCGGAGCTGACCCGCAGCAGGCACTCGCAGCAGGCCTCAGCGGCTCACGCACAGACAGGCAACACCGTGTTCAAAACGCAGTGCAACAAAGCACGCGCCACAGACCTAATGCAGTGACGTTCATCGTCACTTACCAGCTTTGAAAACTCACGAAAGCCAGGTCGGAAGGCCCCTTGGCCTGGGCTGGGGGCGGGGGGGGGGGGGTGAGCAAGCACAGGAAGGGGAGCAGGAACTTCCACACACAAAGGCATCCCCGGTTACAATGTGTCCCACTCTTAGTGTAGAAAAACTAAGAAACCAAAAGGTATTGAACGTTTTGCTACTTGTTTCACTGCAGGGAGTGCCAGGCCTCCCCCTGCAAAGCTCTCCCCTCTGCCCTGCTGGTGCGGAGGCGCCTCGGGGCACCCTCGAGGAATGCGCTCACCGGGCGCCCTCTCCCCTGCGCATCGGCAGAGAGCAGGCTCCTGGCCCCAGGTGCGGGCGCCGGCGCCCGTCCTCAGGACACAAGGGACCCCCTACCTGCCAAGCTCCCATCAGACAGCAGCGAGCCGCCCAGCTTGTTCCAGAACCTACAGCTCAGACATGCTTGGCAATGACACGCAGACACTGAACGTGCAGGAAAATACATACGTTCTTTCTTGATCTTCTCGGCCACTAAGAACTCATCTCTTTCAACAGTCGGGGCGAAGTTGCTGCCAATGACCCGCACGGCGTACTGGAACTGCTGGGCGACGTCGGCTGCAAGGACAGAAGGTGCAGGTCACGACTTGACCCGTCGTGGCGCTGCCTGCGCGGGAGGGGCACAGCCCGCCACCCGCCCCCAGGCTCAGCTGGGAGGGCAGAAAAGCTGCTAAGAACCGAAATGAACAATGAAGCAGCGTGTGGACTGCAGCCCCACAGGGTACACGGGGACACGGGCACAGAAAGCCGCGAGCCCCTGGGCGCCAGCGGACAGACCAGACAGTCACAGAACAAGGGGATGTGCCACCCGGACGGCCACTTGCCCCCAAGACCTGCGACACGGGGCCAGCCAGCAACAGGCCGACCCAGTGGCTGCCCCGCGCAGCACCGCGGAGAGGAGCAGGATTGCTTTCCCAGACGGACCCTGCAGCGCAGAGGAGCGAGGCAGAAGTGCCCAGAGAGAAGCCATGTGTGTGAGACGATGCCGGGACACAGGGGGGTAGAAACTGAGTGGAGAACCTGAAACCCAGCACTGCTGGCAGCGGGTACGGGGGCCTCCCTCCTCTGATGCCTCTGGAGAGTGGATCAGAAGGCCAGGCTGGCTGGAAGTCAGGAAGGGATTCCTGGGCTCTCGCCCCCACCCCACAAGCCTACCGCTGTGAGCCCACCCCAGGCAAATAAAGGGGTACTGGCAGACCTGACTTGGGTCAGCATCCCCTCACCAGGGTCTCTGCTGCCCCCTCTGCCAGGTAACCCCTGCGAGTGCAGCTCCCTCCTGCACCAGCAAAAGGCAATGACAAAAACAAGCCCCTGCAGTGTGTGGGCCCTGGGCGATACAGCCCCTCAGGGCACCGCTCCAGGCCTGAACCCCAGACACCTGAGCTGAGACCGGAGAACAGCTCTTCAAGCACAGAAGATGCGGCCTCTGCAAGTGCTTACAGAACACCCATCAAGCCAGACTGCGCGGGGCCACAGAACAAGCCTCGCAGGGTACAGCGTAAAATGCCAGGTATGCTCTCTAGCAAGGACAGAGCAGAGCCGGACTGCGATGTCGGGGAAACCCTCTGTGCCTCACAGTCAACAGTGCACGGGCCAGGGGAGCCTTTGAGACCTGCAAATGCCCCCAGCCGAAAGAAAACAAAGCCATGACATGTGAAGATGTGTGGGATTCTTAAGGCTCGCGGCGGCGGGAGCCTGCTGGGAGGCGGCGCAGACCCTTGTGTCCAGCTCCCTGGGGGAGTCCAGTCAGCAGGCTCTAAAATGCAGCCCAGCCACGGCCCTCCAACAAGAGTCCTGGCGAGGGGATGAGACTGCAACTCTTCCATGAACTCACTTAATCCACGGCTACAATCAGAGTATTCCATTTCTGACCGACCGTACTGGGATCTGACCGGCCAGTGTGAGGGGCCTGCAGTGATCATGGGCCTGGAGGGGGCGCTCAGGACAAGAGCAAACAGATGATGCCCTAACTGTCCACTCACGCAAGGCCAGCCGCGGCCTCAGTACCGCCCTGTCATTTTGTTTAAAGTCTCTGCAAAGGCCGCACCATTTCTTTTCCACGCCTGCTGCTTAAGAAACATGTAACCCGGGGCGCCAATTTCCCGGGGTTGTCTCACGGGCGCAGCCCCATGCGCCTCCCTCCCGCGAGGCAGACATCGGGAGATGACAAACGCGTCGTCCCTGACCGAGCACGGCTGGGCAGGCCTGGGCTCTGGCGGCGGCGCCCGCTGCGCGGACTCTCCCCGCGCTGCTGCGGGCCGGGCGGACAGCGCGAGTCCCCGGCGCCCAGGCCTCCCGGGGCGGGGGCACGCGGGGGTCGCGCCCGGCCGCGACCCCCGCCCGGCCGCGACCCCCGCCCGGCCCCGACCCCCGCCCGGCCCCGCCGCCGGCCCGGGTCCCGCTACCTTCGCTCTTGCCCAGGATCCGGCAGCACAGGTTCTGCAGCAGAACGTTCGGCGACTTCTGATCCGGGGCTGCCATGCTCGCCGGAGTGCCCGGGGGCCCGCGGAGGGCCGCCCCGCGCCCGCCGGCGTCCCCGATCGCTAAGGCCCCGCGGGCGCCGCCGACGACGAGGGCGCCATTTTAACGGAACCCGCCGAAACCGCGGCCCTTCCCACCATGCCTCGCTTCTTCCGGCGTGTGCGCCGCCCACGGCTTCCCCGCTCCGCGCGCTCCGCCCCGCCTGCCGCCGGCTGGGCTCAAAGGTTCCGGCCGCGGCGCCCGCTCGGCTCGCGGCGCTCGTGCTCCTGGTGCCCCGCCCCGAGCGGCCCCGAGCGGCCCCGAGCGAGGCCCAGCGATCCCGAGTGGCCGCGGGCGGCTCCGAACGCCCCCGAGCGGCGCCGAGCGCGCGGCCCTGGCAGCTGCCCGCGGGCGCGAGCGCGGGGCCGGCGGGGGACGGAGGGGGGGCGGGGGACGGGGGGGGTGCGGGGGACGGGGGGGCGGGGCGGGGGACGGGGGGCGGGGCGGGGGCGGGGCGGGGACGGGGGGGCGGGGCGGGGGACGGGGGGGCGGGGGGGCGGGGGGGGCGGGGGGGGCGGGGGGGCGGGGGGGGCGGGGGGGGGGGGGGGAGGGGGGGGCGGGGGGAGGGGGGGGCGGGGGGGAGGGGGGGCGGGGGGGAGGGGGGGGCGGGGGGGGCGGGGGTGCGAGTGACCCGCGCCGCCCGGGCCCGGCCGCCCGCCCTGCGGCGCGGAGATAAGTCCGGGGAAAGGACAGAAACATGGGAAGCCGCGGGGGGCCGGGGGGCCGGGGGGCCGGGGGGCCGTGGGCCGCGCCACACCCTGGTGCCCCCCACACCCCCAGCCCTGGGCGAGGCCACCCGGCGCCCGCCGCGGGTGCAGCAGCCCGGCCCGGGGGTGCGTTGGGCCCAGAACCAGTCAGCGCGTCTCTCCCTCCGCGAGCGCGGACGCCAGGGAGGCCGGGCACCAGGGAGGCCGGGCACCAGGGGGAGGCCGGGCACCAGGGGGAGGCCGGGCACCAGGTAGAGGCCGGGCACCAGGGAGGCCGGGCACCAGGGGGAGGCCGGGCACCAGGGAGCGCCGGGCACCAGGGAGGCCGGGCGACAGGGAGCGCCGGGCACCAGGGAGAGGCCGGGCACCAGGGGGAGGCCGGGCACCAGGGGGAGGCCGGACACCAGGTGGAGGCCGGACACCAGGTGGAGGCCGGACACCAGGTAGAGGGCCGGACCCCGGGTAGAGGCCGGACCCCGGGTAGAGGCCGGACACCAGGTGGAGGCCGGACACCAGGTGGAGGCTGGACACCAGGGAGCGGCCGGACCCCGGGTAGAGGCCGGACACCAGGTAGAGGCCGGACACCAGGTAGAGGCCGGACACCAGGTAGAGGGCCGGACCCCGGGCAGAGGCCGGACACCAGGTAGAGGCTGGACACCAGGTGGAGGCCGGACACCAGGTAGAGGGCCGGACCCCGGGTAGAGGCCGGACACCAGGTAGAGGCCGGACACCAGGTGGAGGCCGGACACCAGGTAGAGGCCGGACACCAGGGAGCGGCCGGACCCCGGGTAGAGGCCGGACACCAGGTAGAGGCCGGACACCAGGTAGAGGCCGGACACCAGGTGGAGGCCGGACACCAGGTGGAGGCCGGACACCAGGCCGCGGGCGGGAGGCTAGGTAGAGGGCCAGAGACCAGGTAGAGTGCAGGAGCGGCGCGGAGGCCCCCGGGGTCCCCTCGGGAGGTCTCGCCCCGGGGCTCCCCGAGGTGGGCAGGCGCCCAGGTAAGGCCGCAGGGCCGCGCGCCGGTGCTGCCCTCTGCCGGCCGCGCGGCGGCACTGCACCTGCGCAGGGCGCTTCCCGGCCACCCGGAGCAGCGTCCAGGGCCGTCCAGCGTCGGGGCGCTCGCCCTCCCCCAGCCTCTTCCCGAGGACGCCGCGCCCGGCGGGGTGGGCGAGGCCCCGCGTGCGTTGGCCGGCGGGCACTGACGGACGCCACCTGCTGGCCCTGAGCCTGCACTCAGGCGCCGGCCGCAGCTTGGGCACCACAGACACCCCTGGCTCTGGACCGGCACCTTTACAGCAGTGCCCGGCACCTCCACAGCGGGCAGTGCGGAGGCAGCCCCGGCTGAGGGCGGAGGGAGGGTCGATGGGCGACCCCCGGGCTGCCGGCGTGCAGGAAAGGAGGCGGGGGACATGCCGGCGCTGCCCACACGTGCACACAGGCACAACACAAAGGCTCGGGGAAGGCGCCAGAACCTGGCTCCAGAGCCGGGGCGACCGGGGGGAGGCGGTCTTCTGTGCAAAAGCCTGACCAGCCCCGGGGCAGCACCAGCTCGTGCCCAAGAGCATCTCAGAAACTCTCCCAGGCACGACAGACAGCAAGCGCTCCCCGTGGACGGCCAGCTCAGCCAGCGCCCTGGGGCCAGGAGCTCGCAGCCACAGCGCAGTGTCGGGCAGCGGTGCGACCCTCTCCGCACACACACGGCAGCAGGCAGGCGTGTCCAGGAGAAGGGCTGCGGGGAGGGCCTCAGGTGCCGCCCTGGGAGCCCTGGTCTACCCGGGGAGAACGCCCAGGGGCTCATCTGCACGCACCCCTTCCCCCACTGTCCTGGGGGGCAGCCACGCGTGCACAGGGACATGGAGTGGCCCTGCCCCGCCCGTGCCAAGGCCCCATGTGCAGCGCACCTGTGGGGCCGCCCCTTGCTGAGCCAGCGTCCAGCAAGAGGACACGGGGGCAGAGACGCCGGTTGGGGTAGGCTGGACCCCTCAGCGCTGCACCCACGCGTGCCCTGGCCTCCGGGGCCGTCCCTGGTCCTGGGGTGCTTGATTAACCCCCTTTGGAAGTTGTTGCCCCTTCTCCAGAGCTCCTTATCTCTCGGCCTGTCTCAGACACCTCTTCAGCCCGCGAAGTCCTGGTCTACCCGGTCGCCATGCCCGCCGCACGTACCCGCACTTGCCCTGGGACTCAGCTGGGGGCGCCCTGCCCGGTGCCCTCCAGGCCCGCCCCAGTCTGGGCCTGGCTGTGAAATCGATGTGGGGCCGGGCTCTGCGGGGCTTGCAGATGCGGCTCCTCCTGCCAGCAAGAGGCTCGAAAGTGCCATTTTGGCAAAATAAATAAAATGATGGTTAAAAAAAGCCGTTTTCTCCTGCAGTGACCTCCCCGCAGAGCTGCGGCCGGCGCCGGCTCCTGGCCAGGCTGGGCATGGGGAGGAGGGTGCGGAGGTCAGCAGGGCCACTGCGCCTCGGGCACCGCCCGCCGCCTGCCCGCTCCCCCCCATGTTCAGAGGAAGGGTCTGGGGCTCAGGGTCCCGGGAGCGTGCGCCAGACGCAGGCGGCAGGGCCTCCCCGACAGCCCGGTGCCCTGCGGGCTGGCTCCTGCCGTGCCCTGGCCCCCGCTCTGGCCCGGGTTGCTGCGGTGCCTCCCACTCGTGTCACGTCCCGCGGCCATGCTGCGTCCTGCGTGCCCACCCCAGGCCGTCCCACCTGAGCCCACTGCCCCCCACTGTCGAGAAGCCAGTCTCGGGCTCGGCCCTCACCTCTCCCCACCCATGAGGCGGCCCCGACCTCGGACCAGAAGGCAGAAGCAGTCGGGAGACAGCCAGCCTCTGGCCTGGTGGCCGTCCTCTGGGCTGGACCGGCTCGGGAGACCGCAGAGCCGGCCCCCGCCGCCCCCAGGCTGTGGCGAGTGTGGCCGCCCGGCGCCGAGTGGACGGGCGGAGCCGCGGGGCCGGTGCCGCCACCTCGTCCTGCTCACCCTCTGACCGCCACTCCGTGCCCTGCCCCGGCCCGGCCTCTTAGAAAATGCGCCCCTCCCTCGCGCGCGCCCCCCCCTTTCCGGGGAGCCGCGGGCCTGCCCCTGCCCCCCCCCCCCCCCCGCTCCATCCGCCCCAGCGGGGCGTGTGTCCACCCTCCCTGCGCCCCCTGGCGCTCCCGGGCCCCAGCAGAGCTGGGATGCAGGTCAGCTCCGAGCACCCCTGCAGAGAGGCCCCGCGAGGCAGGCGGCGCCGGGCTGTACCCCGCTCCAGGGTCTGGCGCCCGCCCGCAGGCTGCTCTGGTGAGGCTGACTGAGCGGGGTCGGAAGGCGCGCGGGGGACGCGGGGGCTCGTGAATCCCGAGAGAAGGGCCCAACAGGGCGGGGGCGTGTCCGGGCGCAGAGAAGAGCGTTCACCCCGAGTGTGGCCTCGGGGACCACCGAAGCGTGTGGCGGTCGCCTGTTTGGCACAAAACCAGTAACTTGAAACGGGCTGTGTCTCCAGAGGGACGAGGACCAGCCGAGGACGCGGCCGCTGCTCCCGCGGGGAGGGGGGAGCCGCGCCTTGGGGTCTCGGGCCCCTGTCCCTTGGCCCCGGCCCCTGCCCGGAGTGGACAGCAGGACCACAGCCGCTGCCGGCCCCGCGGCGCTCGGAGCCCTCCCTAGGGGTCCTCTCGGAGTCCCCTAGTTCCCTGAACCGCCTCTGGGCGCCGCAGCACCTGCTCCCGCTGCTCACCTGCCGCGGGGGGCACGGCCTGAGCACCCTGGCCCGGCAGGTGCCCGAGTGTGGGCGGCCGATGCTGAGCGGCCTGCTCGGCCGGCATCTCATCGCCTGCAGCTCTGCCTCCCCCCACGGGCCAGAACCGCCCTGTCACTCGGGCAGAGCCCGGCCTCCCAGGTGCCTCTCGGATCCACCCCGAGCTCACAGCTGGAGGGCCGGGGAGGGTGGGCGCCTCGAGGAGGGACCGGGAACGCCCGGGGCCGAGGACGGGGTGTGACAGGGACCCCCGAGCTGCTCAGTGGACGCCTTGTTGCCGAGACTGAAGCCGCGGCCGGGGCCCGGGGCCTGGTCTCCGTCTCACACTGAGTCATGGAGCAGCCGAGATGCGCTGGGGACGCTCAGGACCCCGACGCTGCAGGCCACAGAGCCCGTTCTCTCGTCTCCCCCCCTTTGCTCGCTGCCCCCCCCATGCCGCGTGACTGCTCTCGGACTAAAAAGGCCGGGCCCGCTCCTCGGCGGCGTCCTCACTGTGCAGCCTGCTCCGGACGCCCCTCTGTCCATGCGGGGTTGCCCCGAGGCCTGGCCTGCAGGCGGCACGTCCCACCGTCCCCAGACGCACCCCGTG